AACGGCAAGTGTTGTGTAAGTGTTGTATAAGGATGCAGGGATAAGCCACCGACATCAGGTATTGCAGGCAGGGTTACGCGTGTGGATGAGCCAGGTCACCCCATGGCCCTCCTGTTGCCTTTTAAAAGGGGATGTCAAGAGGGAGTCCAGGGAAGGGTGAGGAGCCAAATAGCTCGAAAGTGCTTCTGAAAGGTGAGGAATCCCTTTTCCTATCTGTTGCTACCTTGAGAAAAGATGGGAAGCAGCAATGCTTGTCCCCAGTGCTGCCTGGGGCAGCCGTTTGTGGAGCAGGAAAGGAAGCCTGAGGATAGCCAGAAAAGATGCAGCTCATGATACAGACAGGGACTGGGATTTACTGTGCACCTGGCCTGCAGGAGACTGACAGCTGGTACCTAAACTTTGAAGCAACAATGTCATGTTTTAAGCACAGCCAGCAACTAAGTACCATGCAGCTGCTTGCTCACTCATACCCCCCTGGATGGGATGGGGAGAATCAGAAGGTAAACCCCACAGGTTGAGATAAGAGCAGTTCAGTAATTAACATAAAGTGAAGTAATAATAATAATAATAAGGAAAGATAGGAAGAGGCATAAAATTCTGGAAACACAAGTGATGCCAATACAATTGCTCACCATCCACTGACTGATGCCCAGCCCGTTCCCAAGCACCAGCTGGTGGCTCCCAGCCAACTTCCCCCAGTTCATATACTGAACATTATGTTCTATGGTATGGAATACCCCTTTGGCTAGTTTGGTTCAGCTGTCCTGGCTGTGCCCCCATGGCTTCTTGGGCACCTCCTTACTGGAAGAACACAGGAAACAGAAAAGTCCTTGATTTAGAGTAAGCAACAAATAAAACACCAGTGTGTTATCAACATTATTCTCACACTAAATCCAAAACACAGCACTGCACCAGCTACTAGGAGAAAACCTACTATATCCCAGCCAAAACAGGACACCGTAAGGCAGAAAACACCCTCATCCCCCGAGCAGTGCAATCCTTTTATATAACCGTTGGTTAATCTGATGCATTTGTGTGAAGGAGAAGGCACTGGATGAGAGTGGGAGAACACTTAACCACATTGATTAATATTAATTGGTAAATTGTCTTTCATTATGGGAAAAGAAAGTAAGTGCAGTAATTGGCAGTATGGCTTGACAGTGGTTCTGTATTGGAGACCAAAGCCTGAGAATTCCAAATACCACATTTTCAGGCCAGAGGAGATGAAGATCCCCACAATGTCTTCTTTTATTTGGGGCAAAATAGGAATATTCTTTTCCTGGTGCAGGGCTGTAGATCTGAAATAGAACTCACTATCAGAATGGAATCAGCATGTTCCTACTTTTATTTTCTTTCAAAACAAAACAAAAAGCAGGGTTGAACTCCAGTGATGGAGAAAGAACACACTGCTGGCTCTTCCACCTGAGCTCTCTGGCAGGGAGGTCATGTGAGGTGTTAGATAACAACCACTAAAGTTAGTGCTGCATGCTCAGGGCTTGTGGTTCAGGGCCATGAGACTTTGTGTGGGCGAATGAGCGCTCCACAGACAAAAGCTAATCTAATGAAGCCTGCTGCCTGTGATGTCAGCAAAGTTTAACCATAAAAATCGTGTCACTTTTGGCAAGGAAGAAACTTGCTCTGCAATGTCTGTGAAGGCTCCCAGACATTATTCCCAGACAGACTCCGCCTGGTGTGGTGGAGCCTCGCCTGTGACTCATCCACATCATTCCAATTTGTGCCCCTCTGTGTGCTTTTTAGTTACAGACTACAGAAAAGTTGTACAGAGAGTTTTAGACTGTGAAAAAGAGTCTGATTTCCTCCAGTATTTTCCACATCTATGTCTTGAAGTGTAACTTGGTATATAAAGTGTAGACACTGCTTGTTCTTCTTGCTTATGTAAAGTAGCAACTGTGCTGGGCCTTCAGAAGACAGGCAAGGTTCTGGGTGCCAGAATGCGTAAATAGTTCTGCGCCCAATGTTTGCATTCATGTGCCACGTTCCTTAGAAAGAAAAAACAGAAAATCACTTCCAGCATGTAAAGGGCAGGATTAAAGCATCATCTCGAAAACATTCCTGATACATTTGGAAAGATTATTAAAATCACCATCAGGTGCAATATTTACCTTTTGGCACTTGCTGAATGGAGCTAGTGGAGATGCTGGATGAGCAAGATGCTGATGCACACTCTCCATTTTAAACTGTGGGGCATAGGAAGACTGTGCCAAAGCCAGATGCATTAGTATGATGCCTTAGACAAAAGACCATCTTTTCTACAATCATTTCATAATTAGTTTTTTTACACAAGTGACAACTGCCTTCATGCCAAGTCCTGGACTCATCAGGGAAAATGGCACAAGTCCCAGGATAGCTAGAATTTTTCACTTCATACAGATTCAGTGAAGAACCCTGTATTTCTCCTTTCTTTTTTTCCTTCTTTTTAATAGATTGGTGCAAAAACAATAATTTGGGTATTAGTAGCTGATTATTTGCAGGAGGGACAGGATTTTTATTTGAAACACTACGTTGTTTACTTCAAGAGCACTTGTGTGTCACTGAGTCACCAAACCACTATTAAATTCTGGGAAATGGCTTATTGTTGAGGTTCATGGGGTCCCATGACACGGTGGGATGGATCAGAGTCTGATTTTAATTGGAGGCCTGATCTAAATTTGTATCCTCTTTAATCCTGTGATTGACAGACTGTGAAGCGTTATGAAGTTCCACAGGATGGTAGGAGTGGAAGAAAGATCTTGTGTTGTCACCTCTACTTGCATTGTTTGTACATGGCAAATATCAAGCAGAGCATTTGCTTTTCACTTAAGAGTTGAAGGAGAATATTGTCTTTTGTCAGAACAGCATAGATGTAGTCTTGGGTGGTTTGCCTGGAAGAAAAGACAAGGAGATTAAAAATACATTTTAACACTATGCTGGAGGAGATTTTACCAGTTCCTGCTGTAAAACTTACGGTCTTTTTATTGCAAATACAGTAAACATGATGGGGTGGGGGGGGGTTCCTCTTGCTTGTTTCTCTTCTTTTTCTTTTCTTTTTTTTTGGGGGGGTGTGATTTATTTGGGAATTTTTGAATCATTAAAACAATTCTGAACCTTGGAGTAGCAATTAATTTAGTTTAAAGATTTACTAGATATGCCTGGCTAATGTAATGAGGCATAAAGTGATTTTAAAAATAAAAAAAAAGACAAGGAATACATTACAGAGAAGATAATAGAAATTAGGAAGGTTGAGATTTGCATGGAAGGAACCCCCCCAGCAACGCTGCATGGCAGTTGCAGGTTTGGCACACGGGGGTGTGCAACGATGTGCAGCAGTGTGCACGGTTGTGCAGCTGTGTATATAGAGGTGTGTGCAGCAGTATGTGGTGGTGTGCAAGGTTGTGCAGTGGTGTGCAGGGTTGTGCAGCTGTATACAGCAGTGTGCAGGGGTGTGTGCAGTGGTAGATAGTGGTGCACAAGGTAAAAAAAGGGCGTACAGCAGTGTGCAGCAGCATGCAGGGTTGTGCAGTGATGCGCAGCAGTGTGTACAGCAGCATGCAGGGGTGTGTGCCGTGGCATGCAGCAGCATGCAGGGTTGTGCAGCAGTGTACAATAGTGTGCAGCAGTGTCCACTGGTGTGCAGCGGTGCCCAGCAGTGTGCAGGGGTGGGCGGCAGTGTACAGTGCTGTGCAGTGGCGTGTGGAGCTGTGCAGTGGTGTGCAGTGGTGTGCAGCAGTGTCCAGCGGCGTGTAGGGCTGTGCAGCGCCTTACAGCAGTACGCAGTGGTGTGCGGTGGTGTGCGGTGGTGTCCAGCGAGCGGTGTGTGGTGCCGTCACTGTGCCCCGCGGCAGCCCCTCTCTGCGTACTGCCCCCGTGCTACCGCCAGGGGGCGCCGCAGCATCGCACCGCGCTGCGCGGCGGCGACCGGAGGGACTCGGAGCGGGGCCGGGCGGGTGTCTGTGATCAGACAAGGGCGCAGCGGGGACCCCCGCGCCCGCCTGCCTCTGTGTTAGAGCGGGCAGGCGGCGGCTCCCCCTGCGCTGAGCCTCACGGGGCGGGCAGCCGCGCTGCCCTGGGGTAGCGGGACGCAAAGGGGCTCATAGAGCGAGAGGAGGGGGGTTCCGCCCCACGCTGTGGAGCGTTTGACGGGTTACTGCAACGCCTTAGGTGCCCGAGCGCCAGGGCGAGCTTTGAGCCCTCGTCCGTGAAGCGCTGTTGGTGTTGATGATGGGGTTAGGTGAAACTGCGAGGCTGCGTCCCAGATACATTAATTACACGGAACATGCGGTTGCTGCAGTTCACCTGCGTTCTCATTCTGGTGGTGCAGTCTGTGGCTAAGCGGAGCAGATGTGCGGGATGTTCTCTCAGCCTGCTGGTGGTGGGGGATATGTATTTCAAGGACAAGGAAAGGGAAACACTGCGAGAGGAGAGAATCACAGGATCACAGAATGGTTTGGGTTAGAAGGGACCTTAGAAATCATCTAGTTTCAACCGCGCTACCACAGGCAGGGACACCTTCCACTAGACCAGGTTGCTCGAAGCCCCATCCAGCCTGGCTTTGAACTCTGCCAGGGATGGCGCAGCCACAACTGCTTTGGGCAACCTGTTCAGGTAAAGAATTTCTTCCTGATATCTAATCTAAATCTGCTGTAAAGTAAAAACCACTAGTTCCTCAAGTTCCCTATTAGAGCTAAAGGAACTTTTTAAAAAGCGTTCCATGAAGTGGGCAGAAGTATTTTTTATTCTGCATCAGTAGCCACTAGCTTTTTTGACCTTGCTTCCAAATCCCTGTTACCCACAGCTCCTCTGGTTCACCAGGTTTTGGACCTGACTTGAATTCATTGCCTCATGCAGTTTAGCAAGGTGAATTGAATTTAATGTGTTAAGCCATCAGACATCAGCTGTGGTATTCAAGATCCAAAATGTTCCATGCTGTGTAAATGTTAATGGTATTCTGCAGTTTGCATTTATGGACGTATTACATGGGACTTTCTTCCTTTTTTTGGCAGGTGACATTGGTGACGGAAGAAGAACAAGAATGATTACATATCCATAACTCCCAGCAGCATGTCAGGTAATCATATTTAATAAGAGAATCTATGCAATATTTCTTGCTTTGCCAGAGTGATTATATTAAATGTTTACTGCAAAATACTGCTTTAACAAGTTCTGAATGCACAGACACTGGGAGTTGAAGTCTTTTGTCTACCCAGAGCATAGAGATGTGGGGCACATAGTAATCTTCCCCAGCATTTTTCAGCTGAAACTCTCATTCTGCTTGGTTTTCCTTCAGAAATAAAGTTGTGTTTTGTTCTAAAGACACATTCCAACTTCAACATTTCTGCTGAAACTGACAGTGGAGTGACAGTTTCTGCTGAGTACATTAGTCCAACTTACTTTGTGAAGTAGACACATTTACTGAGGTTCAAAATGAGACAGTTAAATTCATTTTACATAGATTACCAAGTAATCTTCAGATAATAATTGACAAGATCCAGAGTTGAAATTACTGTTAACCACTTTAAGTCCACTTAACCGCTTTATCTCTGCCAGATGCAAAGGACTTGAAGGCTATACATGCATTAACTGTGTCAGAAAACCCATATATTCTAATCCCAGAACAGGGTGTCTAAAAAGATGTAATTATTACATGGAGATCATATAGAAAGCCAGTAGAACTTCAGACTTCCAAAATTTCTTTCAGTATTCCTCAAATTGCATAAGAGAAGAAAATGTTCTGCTGATGCTGTTTCTCAATGCATATTTCAAGAGCCAAATGACATAAATGGAACCTTTTAAAAGCCTGTTTGTAAAATGCAGCATGTGAAACATAGCGAAGGTCATAACAAAAAAGACTGAATTTCTGGCGTTATGCTCAAGGAACAGTTTAGTTTTGCTGACTGGGCAGATCAAATATCCTTTCTTTTCCCCTAGAAAGCTCCCATCCTTTTGTATTGACCAGCAAGGCGTAACAGCTGCATTTACCAACAAAGCTGGTCCTAGATATAAGGTAGAGAGTAAAATTCATGAGGAGAAACAGCATTATTTAAATGCATTCTTTCATAGTAAAATGTATTATTTGATAATATGCGAAGATGTGTCATTTGACTTCTGGTTTTATGGGGCTTTTGCTGTCCATTGAAGTGAAGGTTATGCACAGATGAATAGAAAGTGGAGGCAGAGGGCATTGAGGCTTTTTGCAAAATGAAGTGGAATATCTGACCCTCACTTGGTGTGTCAGGCTCTGTGTTAGCATCACTGTCACATGAGGATCAGGAAGGTGTTAGTATCCTTAGGCCACATTAGCAGTGCCCACTAGAGTGTTTTTGCATTCTTCTGCAGGCATTCTAGACATGATAATTCCATTTAACAAATACCTGGTTTGGAATAAATTTAAAGCATTGACATGTAACTCAGTCTTTCCAGCTTTCTATTCTGCTTTCTTCTGTCTCATGTTAAACTGTGTTTTTTGACCTTTAGCTACAGGGCTTCAGGGAGCAATTAGTAGCTTGTGCTGTGTAATGGCAAATGATGGGGGAGGAAATGCAGTGTATCCACTTTATCCTGACCTTATCTGTTTGGGTGTAGCTTCCTATGGAGGGGGCTTTTATGGGTAATTCCCACTAGTGATTTAACCAGACCTGTCTGTCTGGACTTCTCCCTGGCAGGGCAGCTAAGCTGAGTGAAACAAAAAGCCCAATTGGAAGGGCTACATTTTTCTTCCTTCTTCTTTAATGAAAAGGAAAAAAAAAAAAAAAAAGAAGTGGGCAGAATAAATATGTGCAAAGAAAATAATCACCAGGCTGAAAAAAAGAGGTTCATTGCAGAGGATGACTGTTGGTACAGCTGTAGATGTCCAGCACTTTTCACTATGAACAGTTTATGTTTTCTGTTTCTCATTATCGGATTGAAATTCCCTGCATGAGTGTGAATGTGAAAAGAAGCATGGATGAAATAAAAATCTTTCAAGCTCTTTAAAAGCCGCCATCTACAGCCAGACAGGAGTCCTTTCCTAACGAATGAAAATGAAAATGAAAGCTTATATTCTGTTACTGAGTCACTGGAATATGAAAGCAGAATCTAATCCAAAACCAAACCAGTTGCCTAAAATAATAGGCTGTATTATTCTGACTTTTTGATAGATAATTTCTCTGCCCGTATGTTACATTTCTGCTGCAGTAAAAATTTTCCCCTTGTAGGCACTGCCCAAAAGCCTCCAGTTTTTGGTGCAGTCTAGAGTTTTTCTGACAGGAGATTGTAGAATTTGGCCTTAGGTAGTAAAGCTGGGCTTTACTACATTTTGCAGTTGCCATAGGAAAAATATTTTGAGTATTTTGACATCTCAGCTTTAAAACCACCTACTGGTGTGATTATTCTATGGCACACGTTCTGTAATTGTGTGTGCTTATGGCTTTTAATAGAGTTCAAGTTTTCCAAAACTATTTTGGGTTACTTCAAAGTTACAGGTAACATGGAAGGATGTCAGAGGTGTAGAAGCCATTAGTTAAAAGTGAATAAAATAAAAAGTAAACAGCTAAATGAATGCATCCGGTACAATTTTTGAATGCAAAAAGATAAAGGCAAATATTGGGTTAATGAAGTCCAAACTACTCTTCTTTTTTCTTCATATGCAGTCAAATTAGAGTTCACCCATCAATAGAGTTAACGAACACCTAACAGTGGGCACTTCCTGACATTAGAAGCTGACAAATAAAAAGCTGGACCTGCAGGTTTTGTAAACACTGTCAGTGTTTTTGTCAGTTTCTGTCAGTGTATTTTTGCAGCTGCTAGTTCTGAGTGTCAGAAGTTGCCTAACCAGTTTTATGTACACATGTATGTTACATATTTTACGCACCAGTTTATGTACACATAACCAGTTTTATGTACACATAACTCAGATGATGACCAAACATTGAGATAAAGGGATGCTTCTGGAGAGGGAGAGCTGGGCATAATGCTGCTTGCAGTTGAGTACTAAGTCTGACAGACACATTCTGTTCTCATAAACTGAAGCTGGGTACCTCGCTAAACAGAATAGTTTTGAGTGATTACATACCTAAATGTAACAAAGCAAATCTGAAAGTTCAACTTTCCTGTTTTGAAACCTAATTTTTTGTAGAAGTTCATTTTCTTTCCTGATGAAAGCTGGAGCAGATCTGATGCTTTAAGTAAAAACATCAAAAATGTGTTTAGGGAATGTAAGTAAAATATGGTTGGTTGGTTGGTTTTTTTAAACAGAAACAAGTGGAAAATGACTGATTGGATGCTTCCTCCATAGTTAAAAACAGCTTCACAGCTGGCACTAGCAATTACCACAGGGTAATACCTGGGGAAAAAAAGTTATAAGTATTTTAAAAATTAGTACTATCTTAGCAATAACTACAAGTCTTTCTGCCATATATTTGTACAATAGAATAGAAAAAAATTAAAAGTTGGAAACGATTATTTTCTAATAGAGAAGATAGTACTTTCAAATAAGTAAGTATGTAACATAGTTCATTAAAAAATCCTTGCTGCTTAAATACTATTGTGGAGCTTCTGGTTTTAGCATCACTGTTCACTGGCAATAATCATTATTCACTGGCAATAATCTACCACTGAAGGCTGCCTTCTGTACATTTTCTCCCAAAATGCAGGACAAGTTCTGAGACAGATTTTTGTCTTAATTTACTGGAGTGAGAACTGAAGAAGGAATTCAAGCATGGGTTCTAAACACCAGAAAATAGTATTTGTAGAAAGCAGTAAAATCTCATTAGTTTCATCTTCATGGCTGATGAAGATTGACTTTAAAGAATGCCATAGCAGTGTCAGTGAAGTCTGCAGCAAGTGATTTCAATAAGGCCAGGATTTTACTCTGCTTTTACTTGGAGTTTCATAATTGACTCCGACAGTGTGCTTCTGCTCTCAAATATTCACACTGTTCTGTTTGGTAATGAGTGTAAAGTTAGATCAAGATAGGAATTACAATAAAATTAAGTGCTTACATTAGGGAATGTAAATGTCATAAATGCATATTTTCAGTAAGTAGGATTTAATATGCAGCATTTCTTGTAACAGGTCACTCATTGGAAAAGCAGTGTCTCTAAGGGTGTTGCATGTAGTTTCCAAGAACTGGTAAAAGTAATAGGATAGGAAAGGTACCACCTTTTCTTCATGAGTCTTTTCACTATATTGCTCGTTACCTTGTAAACTTGATATTAATTGAGATGGAAGATAGTTTATTGTGTAACATCAGCTGAGAAATTATTTGTCCTAAATGTGATCTTCCTAGGGTAATTTAATTTGACATATGTCACTGTCTGACACTTCTTGTCTGCCAGACCATGATAAAATCCGAGTAACTCAAGTGTATTATTTCTTTTAAGTAAAGGACTTTCTAGAAGGACAATAAATACTTTAATATGAGGTTTTGTTATGCCAGGATTCATCAGCTTTGTAATGAGCTTTTGGGGATTTTCAAAAGGTTAACAAGATTTATATTGTGGGATGTTTTTGCATGAAGCTATGAATCACTCCATGATGGCTCTTATTACTTAGAAGCGTATTTTTAAATATGCAGTTAAAAATATCACACTTGGTAAGTTCTAGGTTACAGACATTCTGGTTTAATTTTAACTTTTTTGTTTTAAACTTTGATGTTTTTAAAAAGTGCTTTCAGAAAGTCCTATATAACGCAAGTTTCAAGAGGCAAGGAGTCTGTATAATATTTGTAACTTTCTAATTTTTTATGCAATTCTTTAGTAATGCATTGGGGTTTTCTTTCCCATCATGGGGAGAAAAGGCTCTAAAGAGTGTATTTTTCTGTAGGATAAACATGAAGACCTTTATGTCTGTGTGCTCCTAAAGGTGCTTAAGTTTGACATTTACAGTTCATGGATACCCGCTACATTTTCCAGCGAGGGTACACACATTTGAAACTAACCAAGCCAAAAGATCTGGTTAGATTTCACAAGGAGCAGAGAAAACAAACACTTTTTTTTTACATCTGCAACATCTGCTAGCCATTTTCTGAAGCATGTTTCAGCATGTTAGTGCTGAGATTTTTTCTTTTCTATTTTTTTTATCAATAATCCA